GCCGGAAAAGGCAAGGAAACAGATTCTCCCCTACAGTCTCCAGAAGAGACGGCCCAACCAATACCTCGATTACAGCTCAATGGGACCCATTCTGGACTTCTGACCTCCAGAACCGTGAGAGAATAAATCTGCACTGTTTCAGGCCACTGACCTTGGTACTGTGTTGCAACAGTGATTGAAAATTAATACAGGGCATAGCACACATGTTAAAAGAGAAATTGTCAAGATTCAAGAATTCTGAAGCTAGTGGGCCATGTGAACTGCCAACAATCACCACGTGGCAGCTAGTTCCACTCAGCAGGAAGGAGAAAACGCCTACCACCCATTAAGGTTAGTCTTGACTTCAACAAATTTTGAACAAGACAGTGTCTTTGGGAATAAAATGTGACTTCCTTGTATTTACTTGTTTTCTTGTTTCTTTTAGCCCCTCTGTCTCTTGAGGACAGGGGTGGGGCTGGTTCTCTTCACCCAGTGGCACATGGAAGGCTCCATGCTTCGAATGAATGCTCGACACATGAACCCTGATGGAGTGAGACCAAGGAGGTAACACTCCTCAAGAAAGCCACATGCCGTTTCCTTAAAAAATGAAAATAGAAATACCATCTGAACCAGCAATTCCATTACTAGGAATATACACGTTAAAGAGGCGAGAGACAGGACACAAACAGACATATGCACACTCATGTTTATCACAGCACAAATCACTATAGCAAAGAGATGGAAACAACCTACATGTCCATGAACAGATGAATGGATGACCAGTTATGGTACATTTACACAATGGAATACTATGCTACATTGAAGAACAATGAAGAATACACGCGTCATCTCACAATGTGAATGAATCTGGAGGACATTATGCTGAGTGAAATAAGTCAATCACAGAAGGACAAATATTATATGAGCCCATTACTGTGAAAAGGCAAGTAAGGGTTTGCTTAGGGAAGGGAACTTCCTTTGTAGGTTACCAGGGACAGGAGGGAAGGGGAAGGGAAATTTTTTAACTAGTTGGGGACCACATGCTGAGTTGAGTAAGGGGAGGGATGGTATGGAAAGAGTCTGTGGCTGGAATGATAACATTGGGGAAAAGAAGGACACCGAATTGTGCACATAAGATACAGATGACAGAGGCTAATACCAGTATATGTGTAACACTGCATTACCACTAACACCAAATACCAGGCTACAGATAAATGCATGGACAACTGAGAAGATCAGATGGGGGTGGTGAACAGGAATATACTCTAGACCAATGACAGATTCAGCTGAGGCTAATCTTGCACAGACACTAGTGATACAGAATAACCACAATCATTACAGAAGCAGCAGAAGACAGACTTGGAGCAATCTCTCAGAGACAGCCAGACACCTTGGGAGAGAGAACCACCAGGTCTGCTGACTCAGGACCTTGGTATTGGGGGACACCACGCTCAACTGGCACAACATAATACATAGTAATCTTGTTCCACAACCTACTTTGGTGAGTAGCAACTGGGTTCTTAAAGGCTTTCAAGTGGCCATCTATGATGCAGCTAATAGTCTCCTCTCATTTGAAGTGAAGAAAACCAAGGGCATTTGGAAACAATCAGCCCCAGGATATAATGGATCTTGAGACTGGAAGAACCAGATGGTGCCCGGCCACCAATGCCAACCACTCAGGAAGGGATCAAAAGTAGAGATCCCGGATAAAGTGGGAGGAAAAATGCAGAACAAAATTCAAGAACACAATGATGACCAGAACTACTAGTCGGATGGAGTCTGGTGGGACCCGCAAGACTATGCCCCTGAGATACACTTTGGGCCTGGGATAAAACTCACTCCCTGGGGCTGGCTCTCAGCTCAACTACTGTTGAGTAAGACTGACATGGAGAACACCCAACCCAGGGCGATGCACCCACCTACTCTATGGAGATACACCCCCTTGGAGAAATTGGTCATGGGGCACCAGAGGGGCAGCATTCACATGGAGGGAAAGCTGGACAGACAGAAGTCCATAACTAAGAAGGGCACAGGGATGGGGGAGAGGTCACCGGGAAGGGAGAGGAGGAGAGTGGGTTAGGGTTGGGGTTGGTAATCAGGGAGTGAAACCAAATGTACATGAACTGTTGAATGTAAAACAAATTCTGCTGTGTAAATTTGCACCCAAAGCACACACACACACACACACACAACTCATTAAAAAAAAAGAAAGAGAGCCACATGCCTGGGATAGCTATGCAGAGGTTACCAGAGCCTCGGGAGCAGGTCTGGGGCCCAGCTGGATGTTTGGTATCAGGGAGGGAGCCCCATTTCTGGTCCTGCCCTGCTTCTAACTGAATACATGCTCTTAGGCAAATCACCTGCTGTCCAGATCTAACTTGTAATAGATAATATGGGGAGAATAATGTCTGAAGTATTCTTCTGAGCTGTCCATGGTTCTAATGAGGAAAACGGTGGGAACAGGCCTGTGTGAACTGCAGTTCAGGTCTGGTGGTTATCTTACAGACAGGGGTAGTGCTATGAGTTGAACTGTGTCCCCAGAAAAGATAAATTCAAGTAATAACCCCCAGCACCTGTGAACGTCACCTTGCTTGGAAATAACGTTTTTGTGGATATAATTATTTCAGATTAATTATTTAAACCACTGTGGTTTAAAATCAGGAAAGGTGTGCATCAGGGTTTTATCTTTTTGCCATACTTATTCTATTTGTATGCTGGGCAAATAATCAGAGACGCTGGACAATATGAAGAACACAGCATCAGGATTGGAGGAAAACTCATTACCAATCTGCGATACGCAGATGACACAACCTTGTTTGCTTAAAGTGAAGAGGACCTGACATGCTTACTGATGTATGGATTACACCTCAACATAAAGAAAACAAAAAATCTTTACAACCGGGCTGGTAAGCAACATCATGATACAAGGAGAGAAGACTGAAGTTGTCAAGGATTTCACTTTACTTGGACCCACACTCAATGCTCATGGAAGCAACAGTCAAGAAATCAGATATCATATTGCATTGGGCAAATCTGGTACAAAAGACTTCTTCCAAGGGTTAAAAAGCAAATATGTCATTTTGAGGACTAAAGTGTGCCTGAACCAAGCAAGCCATAGTATTTTTAAAAGCCTCATATGTGTGCAAAAGCTAAACAATGAATAAGGAAAACCAAAGAAAAATTGATGCATTTGAATATGGTGTTGGCAAAGAATACTGAATATACTGTGGACTACCAGAAGAACAAACAAATCTGTGTTGGAAGACGTACAGCCAGAGTGCTCCTTAGAAGCAAGGATGGTGAGACTTCATCTCACATACTTTGGACCTATTATCAGGAGGGACCAGTCCCCCTGGAGAAGGACATTGTGGTTGGTAAAGTGGAGGGTTAGTGAAAAAGAGGAAGACCCCCAACGAGATGGATTGACACAGTGGCTGCAACAATAGGCTCAGACCGTGAGGGTGGCACAGGACCTGGCAGTGTTTTGTTCTGTTGTACTGAGAGGGCTCTATGAGTAGGAAGCAACTTATGGCACCTAACAACATTTAAGTTAGCATGAGGTTATACTGGATCAGGGCCCACCCGACTGGTGTCCTTATAAGGAGAGAAGACACAGAGGCAGCAAGCCACGGAGGAAGAACATCTTGTGATGACGGAGGCAGAGACTGGAGGGATGCGTGTGTAAGTCAAGGCATGCCAATGACTGCAGGAAAGGGGCGTGGAACAGAAATGCTCCCTCACACGCTCCAGAAAGAGGCTTGCCCACTGTTACTGACTGAACTGTGTCCTCCAAAAATATGTGTGTAAATCCTAACCACTATGCCTGTGGCTATAATCCCATTTGGAAATGGGTTGTTTTTATTATGTTAATTAGGCAGGATTAGTGGAGGGTATGTCTATGTCAATCTCTTACAAGATATAAATGGAGTAGATTCAGCAAGCAGAGATGGGGGAGGAGAGATGCCAAGCCCCATGGAGACCTCCAAGGCCAGGAAATAGAAGCTGAAGAGACAAGGACCTTTCTCCAGAGCCAACAGAGAGAGAAAGACTCCCCCTAGAGGCAGCACTCTGAATTTCGACTTCTAGTCTCCTCAACTGTGAGAAAATAAATTTGTGTGTGTTAAAGCCCCCATCCATGCTGTTTGTTATAGCAGCACTAGATGATTAAAAAACCTCTAGAACTGTGAGACAATAAACTCAGTTGTTTTAAGCCTTCAGTTTGTGGTTCCTTGTTACAGCAGCCCTGGGACACCTGAGTAGTAAATGCACATGGTATGGAGGCCAGGCCAGAAAGTGACTGAGGTGGGTGAGAGCTGTCAGGTGTGGGGGGACTGGAGCCAATGCAGCAGGCGTGTCCGCAGAGGGGCCAGCTCAGCTCCATCACACGGAGTGACACCACCGGGTGGGATGCAGGCTGAATGCCAGCAGAGCTTCTGAATTTTGAAGAAGGGCAAGAGATCCGGGTTTGTGAGTAAATTTGCCTACTTTTTTAATGCTGGTAACTAATTCAAAACTTTCAAAACCCATGGGTCAGACGCCACAGGAGGCGGGTGACTGCCCTCTGACACGTGGCTTCTTGGGGCTTGTCTCAGGGGCAAAATTCAGTTCTGTTCAAGACTGAGCTGCTGATGAGACTTCTAGGGAGCTAGTGTTCCATTCGGGCTCAGTCTCTGGACAGTGAAGGCTCTCCCAGCTTGAGGACTCCAAGTCGTTGTGACCACCAGGGAAGTGACCCAAGAGAGCAAGAGCAATGTGGACTCTGTTATGATCTTAACCACTTGAGCCAGCAGAAGGCTGTTCCAGACACAGCACTTCCCATACAGGACTTCACTGAACTCTTCCTGCCCTGAGACACAGGCATTTTGTTCCCATTTTTCAGATGAGGACACCAAGGCAGGGAGAAGGGACCACCCAATTCCCTGTCACACAGCTCGAGGGGGAGACAGGGATCCTCTCAGGGGACCACAGCAGCCCTTATTCCATCCACCCCTTGGCGGTGGGCTGACCGCCAGGCCTCTCACCAGACTCCGCTGACGCAGCGCGTGGACAGCGCCCGGGGCATGATCTCCGAGCCCTGCTGCATGAAGCCCCCCACAGGGAACCAGAGGCTGTTGCCCAGTGTGTACTGGTTCTCCAGGATGTGGGGGCGCGCCCGCAGACACGGGTGTGGGTTATACCACTCATAGGGGCTCAGCCTGTGGGGAGACATAGGGTGGGAGATAAGGTGGTGAGGGAGGGGAGGAAAGGAGAAGAGAAGAGACAATTACCACACAGAAGAGATGGAGACAGAGAGAGAGAAAAGAGGGAGAAGAGAGACAAAGAGTTGGACACAGAGAGAGACACACATGGATAGAGACAGACGGAAGAGGCAGAGAGAGAGAGAGACAGACAGAAAGAGCAAGGCAGACAAGAAAGAGACACACGGACAGGCAGCGGGGGCAAAAGTTGAGAGAGACAGAATGAATGGCAAGGGGAGAGGCCCAGAGAAAGAGGCCCACACAAAACCTGAGGCAGAGCTACTGGGGTGGCGGGGAGAGAAGACCCTGAGTCTAAACAAGAAAGGGCAGAGGAGGGTGCAGGGAATCCAAGTCCCCAAAGAGGAGGTTGAGGGGGCCAGTCCAGGAGACAGAACTTACAGGTCAACCACAGAGGCTCCCTGCCCCTGGGCCCCCTGCCCCCTTCTCAGGCAGCCAGTTGGGGGACTCACCTGGCAGCCAGGAACAGGACACAGCTGACAGCCAGGTAGGCAAGAAGCATGAAGAGCCACACGGCGGGGGAGAAGGGGTCCAGGAAGGAGAAGTAACCAGGCTTACGGCCCTGTGGGGAGAGGGAGTGACACCCCGAGCCACCCTGACCTGAGCCACATCCCTAGCCCCTGGC